TTCACATTTCTCACCCATATCAACTCCCAGGTATCCATAGATATTATTTCTCCTATATTTTGAGCCCATTTAATCATACAATCTTTAACTAGCTCAGTTTCTGAATCCAATTCTAATAAAACATTATATATCCTTCTAATATGTCCTTTAGCATCATCCCTTACTTGTTTCAAAAAATTCCCATTTTCCATAAAAGAAGAAGTTATAATTTCTATGTCCAAATTATTTTGCTTCCATTTTTGAAGCATGCTTACTCTTCCAGAAAATGAATTTCTATTCAAATCAATAATTTCAGTATGATTTCTGTACTACCCATGGAAGTCAATTTCACATTGGGGATCCTTAGAAGATAAAAATTAGCATAACTGAAGTACCCATACCCATCTCTACCATTATATATTTAAGAGGCAAAAATATTTATTACATTTTTATGTCCCAGAAATGCACACGGATGGGTTTCTTTGAATGAAGACTTAGACACAATAAAGTTCTTACTTACAAATTTCCTGTTCTGCTTCTAAAGTAGAGCAGGACAGCTGGGAATTTTTATATAGAAGCACCTCCAGTTTGCCTTGGAGGGCTATATACTCTGTAATTCAGTGTTTTAATATGTGGTGAAGGAAATGCATATTCTTCTTCAAACTATGCTGGATTAGATAACAACCAAAAAATTAACCACTACTCTACCCAGCTTTTTTTTATTTATTCAACCTATTTCCTCTATTCTTTTCTTTCCATAAATACTGTAAGTAATTTAAAGCAGTAAAGACACCACATTAAAACCCAGAATCAAAAGATGAATCACACTTTTAAAAAAAGTTTCCTAACACCCATCAAAAACTTTTATAGTTTTGGAATTATTGCACCCTAGCTTTAGTGATTGGCTAATAACAACCATCACCACCACCACCACCAAAGAGAGGAATCTTAATATAAGTACAGAAGTTCTGGAATTTCCTGTTCATTTTTAGAAAAATAGAAATCCCCCCCCCCCGAAAGCTATTTTGGCCTATGGTTGCTCCCTGCTCATTCAAAATTTCTTCATTGTGAGCTACAGGTAGTCCTTGTTTAGCAGCCATTTGAAAACAAAGAAAAAGGCAACGAAAAAGTAATTTTATCACGAATTCTTGCATGGGGCGGGTGGGGGGAGGAGGGAAGAGATGCAACCAAGTCTTTAGAATCCATAGAAATACTTGTTTTACCACCAAGGTTGATGACCAGAAATTAGGGAACAGTATTAATTGTGAATACGTACAGATGGCCCCTCTCTCTTTGGTCACTTGCAGAGTCCTGGATGCAGGGTTAGGAAAGGACAGCAAGGATAACACCCAATGTCCTAATGATATCTTTAAGGAACACTCAAATGGGAACATGTTTAGCTACTTCTGCTTTCTCCCTTATCTACAGTGTGCCAGACTTACTGGGTGCAATCTTTATCTTATGTGTATCAGCTTTGCTGGATGGGTTGCTTATGTAATTATACAGAATAAATACAAGGATTTCTTGTCATTTGTTGCTCCTCTCATTTAGAGGGATCCGTCTCTATCTATTCAGCTGAATAAAAATGTAAAACTGAAAGACACTTTCTGGTTTCCTGTATTTCTTTAACCAGCAAAACCTCAGAACCTGCATATCAAGGTAATAAACTCCTTACCTTCAATTGGTGAGGTCTTCAATCTCTTGCAAATATTATGCACTCCCCCATAGGTATCATTTATTCGGGTCACTGCCTCCGCACTGCGAAGCTCCATAAGATCCCGTAAGTCCATAACGGAGCAGCCAAAGTCCCCTTCATAGCTGCCTTCTGCCACAGAGTTCCCAGGATGATGATCTGCAGAGTTATTTGTCATCTTGACAACAAGGGAATGGGTTCAGTGAGGAAACAGCCCAGAAAAAGTTGTGTGTTCCTTTTCACCTCCGGATCTCTTTCCTCCACTAGACCAGGCAATGCAACTTTTGGAGCTCCACATGAAATGCAGTCCAGTGAAGTGTTTGGTAGGGGATTAGACACAGTTCCTCAGGGAGGAGAAAGGATTTAGTGCAAGATTGTAAGACTGCAGATCCAGCACTTCCTTCTCTTGCTCCCTAGGTGATACTAGTGGAATTAGCCGAGTGCAACTTCTTCCGATGAACGTGTAAACAAGATGCACATGTTACTGTGGAAGCAACCTTAGCAACAACCAGCAGGCATCTCCCAGAGAGAGAAATGGGTTCCCTGGATACCGTCTTCAACCAAAACTGCAAGACAAGGATTTGAAGCAAAAATTATAGTTAATAAGAGGCCCAAGAGGCCAGCTAATGTGCACATGGATGCAGCAGATGTAAAAGCAATAGCATAAATATCAGAACAGGGAATGAAATTGCTAGGAAGATAGCAATGTTTAAAGAACAAGCTGGTGGAAAATGCAGGCTTCTAAATTGACCACTTAAAGGGCTTTTTTTTAAAGTAACCATGGGAGAGACTCCTTAATAGTTAACCCCTGTTTAGTCAAGCATTATCGTCTTATCCATATGAAGAGTTGCAACTGCAGTTTTCAGTTTAAAATACAATCCAAAATATTAAATATTCCAACAAAAACTTGTGCCAGTATATATAAAATAAAGTTTCATACTACATGCAGAAGACCCTTTCATTTTAATTCATTTAATGATGGATTAATCACATTTTAAGTCAATCCATTTAGTCTCTCTCTCTCCTCTCTCTCCCTCCCCCTCTCTCTCCCCACCCCCATGATGGATGTGATGTTAAATTCATGTGCACCTTTCACACATGATTTTTAAAGAGCACTCACCAAGAAGTTGAGGCTATTTGCATTGAAAAGACTCATTTTTGTCAAAGCCAGTTTGCGTCCCAATACAAACAATAGGGAATGGTTTCCATTAGGATAATAGTACAACTGGGAAAGGTAAACGACCCCCGCTGGCATACCCACCTGTAATTCTCCTGACAGTTATCAACTCCCCTACAAGTAGCTATTTGAATTTTAAAAATCTGTACCTTAAATTGTAACTGTGTATTGCTTTCACTAACCTATTTCCCTAAATTGTGCAAAACCACTACTGCCATACAGAAGTTGGATAGAAGTGGGTAAAACAGACTTTCTAACTAATGTTAAATATTTTCTCCCAACAAAGAAGCAATTCTCTTTAGAACTTTTAAAAATAAATCATCCTTAAGACTAAGTCCAATTTATGGTTAAATTAGCTTGGGTTCTCTGACTCATTTGCTCTCTGCATTATATAATGATTTTCTGCTTTGCTATCACATGTAACTCTCTTTCTCCTCTGAATTTTTGTTCCAAACAAAACACTTCATTTATTATAGACAGATTTACATCTGATCCATTGATATGAGGCCTGGTAACATAATTATCCTGATGTTCATTACCAGGTCAAGAATGGCAAAGATTGATTTTTCATTATGCTGGCTGCTCATCTAAATTTCCCATGTACCAAGAACAGCCAATATTTTTCAGCCACGAATCGGTTTTATTTTTTCACAAAAGCATGTTCACGGGTAGAATACCATAACACCAATAACACTGTTAAGGCCACTTTGGGGGAAACTTTCTGGAAGAGGCCGATAAGTATGGTAAACTTATTCTAGAGCAGGGCTTTTCAACCTTTTCACCCATTGTACCATTTTTAGGATATCGCAACACCCGAGTACCACCAGTCGCCTAGCAAGGTGTCAAAAACTTGATGACCAAAAAAAAAAAAAAAAAAAAAAAAAGGAAAAAAGTGATGAAGTACAGGTAGTCCTCGACTTACAACAGTTCGCTTAGTGACTGTTCGAACTTACAGCAGCACTGAAAAAAGTGCCTGCCGAGCAAGATACCTGCCTGCCCGCCCAGCCGCGCTCTTCCTCCTGTCCAAGGTTTTCATTGTTGTGAGCATTTCTGTTGAGGATTGGCAGCGGGGGTGGGGTGGGAGGGTGTTTGGTTTTTATTCCCCCATCTGCTGGGTGGTTGCAGCAGGTTTTGGTCACTTCACATGAACCTGGACACTGTGACCGTCATAAATATGAATCAGTTGCCAAGCATCTGAATGTAAATCACGAGACCCTGGAGATGCTGCAACATTCCAGCTGATCGGTGCATCTTCTGGGCTCAGTAGAAGCACCAGGATCAGGGCCGAGCTCCAGGTGGAGCCTGGAGCTGATCCTGGCACTTCCGCTGAGCCCTGACAGCCCTGCAGCTCCAGCCATCTCTCGCTCAGGCTTGTGCGGTGCTGCCACCAGTTCAGCACATTCCCCTCCCCCGCTACTTTTCTAGGATGGTCGCGTACCACCTGCCAGGTGCCAATGTACCACAGGTGGTACCCGTACCACTGGTTGAAAAGCTCTGTTCTAGAGCATTTCTAGTTAGAAGATAGCAAGGAAAATGCACCACCCCAAATCAGGGATCTTGCTGCTGGATTTAGACGGCTCCATGGGCTGTTGAATTCCCAGCAGAAAGCCTCCAAGTTTCTTGTATTCACTGCTGTCTTCTAACATCCATCTTTTTGAAGTGTGTGTATTTGTGTGGGTAATCTGACTTTCTTCTTTCAAACCTGCCAATTTCCTGAGCTATCTATAAACTACACAACAGCACTTTCCTTGAAACCAAGCAGCATTATGATTCTTAGGAGGAAGTTTGCATTAAAACAAAGAATGAAAATGACAACTTCTGCAGCCTTCTGAGTTAAAGAAAAATATACCGTTATCTAGATACAGTCTATTATTTGCTATTTTGAACCAGACAAAGGGACATAGCAGAAGCTAATAACCAGGTTCCACTATGTACCAGAGCATCCAATAGTGCAAATGACAATTTGCCTAAGAAAATCGCCAGTTGCAATAGGATAGAAATAGGGAAAGTATGACAGATGGATGTTGGTGGAATCCGGAGGGATAATAAGGAAGTCTTCAAAGGACACCCTGTTTTGCTCCTTAGTCTCATCCTCTTCCAGCCTTGATAACAAGGCAAGAATTGCTAACAACCCTGTTCCTGCATCCAGAATTCTCAGCTTAGTGAAGGTTATGTAACAGTAAAAGCTTATGAGTCAATGTATCTCATTCACCCCCCAACAGAAAAGGATCCATCTATAACACTCCATCTGTTTGCAGGATTCTGCTCATACTGTTGGGCTAGATATTGGTCAAATCTGAAGTACAGAGGAATACCAGCATTCAATGGAGATGAATAAATATAAATAAATAAGTTCCCCTTGACCATGTGGACTTGTGGGCACATTAGAACTTAGGAAAATATACAGAAGCTGCTCTTGCAAAATAGAGTAGTTTGGCCATTCAGAAACTGGCAATCAGCATGGGGTTGACCAAAAACAACAACTAACTTGAAGGCAAAGAGTTGAGGAATGAGCTCTGTCTCCAGCAAATTATATTTGTGGGTCATAGATGTATTTATAATTAGAACACTGCATGGAAAGGAATTTAAATTTTCTTTCTTTGTATTATTTTGTCGAATGAGAACCCCCGCTCCTTACATATGGAAAGTAGTTACCCTTTCTCTTGTGCCATGATTCTGATCTGAGTTGTATTTTTTCCCTCAGACTATTTATTATTGAAAATAATCCCATTAACCATATTTGAATGAACAATCGCTTTGGAATAAGATGGAGCTTCCCAAATGTTCTTGGCTCATGGCACCCCTAGCAGTTTCCAAACTACGTATGTACTGTGTGCCCTGTGTTGCTGCTGTTGTGTTTGCTGCAGCCCTCTGACACCCTTGCACAGAGTTTGGGAATCATGAGAATAAGAAAATAGTCATAACCAGGAAAAGAAAGATGTAATAAAAAGCGTAGAAAGAGGCACAGAAAGAAGCTTGCTTATTTGGGATTCAGGTTCCAGCAACGCATGCAAATTGTGTCTCTTCCAGTTCTATGGATTCTGTACTTCATGATCCTTAGCTAATACCCCCCAGTCTCTAAATCTGGGGTTTAGATCAATGCCACTGATGGAGAAAGAGCAAAGAATGATACAGAAGTGCTATATTGCAAGGGTAGGCTCCTTGGGAATAGCAACATTCCCAAGAGTTGGCACTGACATGGATGCTAATAAGTCCAGACTGAATCCAGGATGGGTTCAGCTGACAGGAACATAAAAGCATACACAGTAAGTTAATTTTTTTACTACAGTTTTTCTGACAGCTAGATATGTGTTTTGCCCTGCAGCTTCCAACTTCATTTTGCTTATTGGATTTATTGATTCTTACCTGGGCATTAACCATGCTTTTTATCCCTTTAGATACACACCTTGATTCTTGATTTACACATTGGACTGGATCATTTTTTAGCCTAGTGATCCTTTGGTCAAACTGAATTCTGTTCTCTTAATCTTTGCTATCCAACTATCTCCTCTGCCCCCATGAGTCTGCTGGACAGAATGAAAATTTGGAGCACAGATATGAAAATAAGATTTGGTGTTTTCCCCCTTCTGATTATAAATTATGAATAACTTTATTTCCCTTTTTTGTTCCTTTTTCAGGGAACAATTTTGATCCACATATACAATAGGTCTACAAAAGGGATGTCAAACTCGATTTCATTGAGGGCTGCATTAGCGTTGTGGTTGCCCTGGGGGGCTGGGTGGACATAGCTGGGGGGGGGGTGGCCAGGTGGGCATGACCAGCTTGATGTCACTCGTGTCAGGGGAGCACCTGTGGGGGGCTGGACAGGGTTATGAGGAGATCCGAGGGTCTCCAGTGGAGGGGGCAGCACTGTGGTGGGTGCCATCCCTCTTGAGCTTCACAGGTGTCCCCCAGATGGTGACGCGGGCCGCCTTGGGTGGTGAGTGGACACCCAGCCCTGGCCTCAAGCACCCAGGGCACCAAGACCTGTAACCTGGCCCAGCACAGTACCAAGAGGTGGGTGCCTAGCCAAGCTGGGACACGGTGGCAGGAACTGGTCCCTTGCCATCTCCAGGGCGGTCCTGTGACCAGAACTAGGCCCATCACAGGCTGGATCCCACCTGCGGGCCTTGTGTTTGACATGTCTTGTCTACAAGACAAGACAGCTGCCAAAAAAGTCAACACAGTGCTAGGTGGCATTAACAGAGGGATAGAATCAAGATCACGTGAAGTGTTAATACCACTTTACAATGCCTTGGTAAGGCCACACTTGGAATACTGCATCCAGTTTTGGTCACCACGATGTAAAAAAGATGTTGAGACTCTCGAAAGAGTACAGAGAAGAGCAACAAAGATGATCAGGGGACTGGAGGCTAATACATATAAAGAACG